GTGACATAAATATACATTACAGTTTGCAGAAAATATTAAACATTGAAATATTACCTTAAAAACTGGTATATGGAAATCAAAGCTTCAATGATATAGCGCAAGGCCAATTGGTCCTTATTTTACAAAAATATCCCCAACCGCGACTATTGGAATCAATTATTGATCTGATAAAAAACAAAAATTTTTATGATTGTTTGAACGCGAATACTTCGTGGTTCATATTTTTCCAATTTGTAAGTAAAAGTTTGAAGTAAAAATTTGAAGTAAAAGGTATATTTTTCTACTCCCGTTCGTAAAATACCTAATTACCAACCGATCTAGCGTGCGGGAAGCGTCACTTTACCACGTGAGTTTCGTTTCCCATGAATCTGAGCCACTTCGGACATTTCCGGGTTTTACCGCACGGATTTGTGAGCAATCTGATATTTCCGGAGATATTTCTCGCGCTTTGAATTTTGACGTTTGTCAGGTCTGACGGTCATGTCAGTGAATGAATTCGTGTTGTTCTGGAAAACTGTACCCAAAAACTAACGGTCGTAGAAAAAGTATAGTAAGCAACACGTTCGGCAAACTTTTTAAATCATTCGTTTATTAAAAACTCGCTCCGCTCGTATCAAATACACTCGTTAATCAAATACCGTTTGCCGCACTTGTTGCATAATATACTATTTTATACGTTACGTGTCAACATTTAAGTTGAAGCTGAAATTTTAATTTTAAATTAAGGATGTGAGATCGCATATACAAAATAATTACCAATTTCTAGCCATCAGTCTGCCGTTGTGTCAATTCATTACTTAATAGTACCTTTGGCAGCAACAAAATGCAAAAACTCCAGGAATGACACAGCAGATTGTTTTAAATTAGTAATTAGTAATTAACAAACCCACAATTGCCTGTAACTATGCAGAATTTTCCAAATTGCTATTAAAATTGCAATTTGCTATCTGTTTTTCGATAAGTGTAGGTGTATAAGACACGGTGGTGTCGAAACAATTGTCATGTAAAAATATTTAATTTCGTGAAAATCTGAACTTTTAGTTCTTATTTATTTTGATTATTAGAATGATTAATGAGAAAACCTTTATAATGCACAGGATGTTTGCTGATTCAAAATAATCTGGACCAGGCCGACAGGTCATAAACTTTGATAGTGATGTATGCTCGATGGTTCGGTTTAGTTTACGGACAACCGAAAAGAGATTATTTTTCCAATTTGGGTACTTGGGATTTACGACTCTGCTCCATCAGAGTAAAGTATTTTGGACGATGCAAAGCCGCTGCCTTTAACCAAAACATCTGGAAACTTCGTTGTCTTAAATGGCACGACTCCCTCCTCCCTCCCCTTAGCGACCATTTGAATTCACAGAAGGCCGAAATTTTTGGTTAACACCTAGTTTTGAGTTTCTATTGGGAAAAGTTGTACCCACAGTAGCTAAGAATCTCTCTCTGAGCACTAAAATGTGACAGAGGACAAATCTATGTGTTCCGATGTTAAAATGATGGTTTCCGCACTCTTGATCTTAGATTATTGGATATTATAGTTGCCCTACAGGCACAGTATTGTATAGACAAAACCTGTCTTAGCGTGAAAGTATTATCAACACCAATTTTTCACATTTGTTTTTCCTTGAATAATACAGACCTATACTATCTTGACATGATACCGAATTTTCTCGTTTTATCCGTCATTCTGTGTTTATTTGTTGTCTCTATGGTTTCCCCGACAATGGTAGCTAGTGCAGGCAGGCTTCCTCGGCTATTCAAGTACCTGATTATTGATATTATAGAACCGGATTCGTTACCCTCATTTATTTTTTCCCGTATGTACAGAGACTTTAAAATAGTTTTCAAAGTGTGACTGACACAGAGACTCACCAGAACCCAGGTCAAACCAGAAGGTTGTTACCAAGGAAAGCCGTATACGATTACGAAATTTTCCTTTTGGAATGATTCGTTGCGAGCAACTCTCAGTTTTCGAAAGTATCTAGTAATCGGTGAGGTAAAGATTTTACAGATAGTGGCGCCCATTTTGACGCATTTTAATTGATCACACGACCACTTCTGTGCTATGTTAGCCTCGCATTCCCCCTTTTGAACACCAGTACCTCTTTAAGAGAAAAAAAAATAGATGCTAGCAGATACTAGGTGAGATGGCAGCTCGCAATTATCTCTAGCCAGCCGGTGAACTTGGCTGCCAAAGTAAAATCATAATCAGTAATCCCGACATCGGACTTTAGCAGGCACGTCAGAAACAAAACTAACCAAATGAACTCTCGACTCAAATGTCGGATACCACACTTGTTGCATTATGCACTATTTGCTTACTGTTGCATTATTGTCAAACATCCTTTTTTATCAGAACTAGAGAGTTTCACATCGTTTTAGTCTTATTGTGTAAATTGAATGTTCTACACTTTTTACGCAGCAAAGAAAACACCTTGTACATTATCACCAGCGATGGCGATGGCGTTGGTCAAATCCATGTTGGGCGATTTTATTTAGCTTCTCTAACGTGGCTAGAGCATTTGGTAATTTAATTTTTTTGGTCTCTTTAATGATAATTTGTGGGGCACAATAGAAGAAAAAGTTTCCAATAATTAAGCCGAAACATTAATTTCTTAAACAATTAATGAAAACAATAATTTCATACCACTCCTTTATTTCACATTTTACATAACATTTATTTTTTCTCTCTCGATGAGTGCACCAAAAAAAATGTAATAATACCTAAAATATAGTTCGCTGATGGAAAATGTGACGAGGAGAATGTTTACGCTCTGAAAATAATTTAAATTTTTAAAATGTTTGAAATCTCCAGCGAGTACTTGGCGAAACTTTGGCGAATTTCAAATGCAGTTCAAAAACCTAACGAATATCTCAAAATAATTTCTCATCACAATTAATAATGTGTCAATGTGTGGAAACAGTTATTGTGCTAAATATCAAATCAAGTATCAATACAAAAAAGAACAAAAATGGAACTTCTTTTCGCATAAATTCCTCGTTGCTCCGCCCATTATTTAATTTCTCGACTTAAAAAAAATTTCATTATAGATTTCTTAGATTACTTTAATGACTGCACTGTTTAAACATTTTTGGCTAGAATACTTTCGGAATTCATATCGCGAATTATCTTAGCGTTTACCGGGTGTTTAAAGTTTACCTACCGATTATATCATTTCTAAGGCTCCGTAAATTTGTTTTGTCAAATTACATTTGTATATCGCTGGCGACAAGACGTGTTTATATTCTCGTCCCAGAATAGTGCTATTTTAACGCAGCTGGAGTGGTGCGAGTGAGTGGAAACTTATACCGATATTGCTTTACTGTCTATACGACTTGATAGAAGGATTATTAATTACATTATTATATTATAAAAACCGCAGTTTGCACCAATGGTCGACAATTTAGAAAGTGATTTATTGCACCGAGAACTTGTCGTCAAACAACTAAGAACTAAGGTACAAACTAAAACTAGCATTACGACAACTATATCTGAGAAAATAATCATAGAAAACTAGAAACTCCTTGCCAAAATTGAAGATCAAGATCCTTAAACAAAAAAATTCTGAAATCGAGTCCAAACTAACAAATTCTGAAAGAAGAAATGGGCAAAATAAAATAATAATTTTCGGGCTGAAATGTTCGGAAGATTTAGGTTGCTTACAAAGCGTATTAAAGCTTTTTAACGAAGCTTTGAGCCTTGCTATTCTGGAAAAATATATTAATGATGTGTGCTTTTTAAAAATGCCAAAAAATGAATGAAAAGCACTTCTAAAAGTTGAATTTGTTTCGTTCTTAAAAAAGCAGCAGGTTATAAAAGTGGCACCAAAATTGAAGGGAAAAAAATTATATTCCAAGAAGTATATCGGGCAGACTCGATAAGAAAATACCCGAGGAACATCTTAGAGTAACAAAATCTGAGAATATGTCGACGAAAATACTATTAATAAATGGTGACATTATTAGTTTTAAAGGTATACTTCGCTAATCCGTTTGCAGCAACATATAATTTTACTAAAATGTTTCAGAATTGATAGATAATAGTATTTTATGCAACAAATATGGTAATCGGAATTTGAGTCACGAGTTTGTTATATACGTTTTTTGGGACCATTAGCTTTGGGTTAAATATTTAATATAACAATACGAGTACATAACACGACCGAATTATGTTCAAGCGAGGACGAGATGACTTTTTAAAAACTTTATTTTCAAAAATTCAATCGAAAATTAAGCGTTTCTGCAGCATCAGGTAGAACAAGAATCCTTTCATATTACTTAAACTAAGACTTTATAGGTTCGCATCCGAAGAGCTGCCAATGTAAATCTCACGGTCTCTTCATAGTACCATCGTGGCAAAATGCTAAATCATTGTACATAACTGCCGTCAGAAAAGCTTCAAAATTCAAACGCGTCCGATTATATCCAGCAAATGTTCGAAGTAGCTCACAAACTGACGTGGAAAAAATAAGATTTTGCGCGCGCCATATCGGTGTATCGTGTGTGATCGGGTAAGCTTGCAGCTCTAAACTTCTTCATGTCTAAGTAAGTTCTAATTTTAGCCTAGTCTTAGTCCAAATAAAACATATTTTATAGGCTGTCCAATTAGTATGCACATATAAAAAATTAAGGTTATGTTTTTATTATATATCTAAAATTTACAAAATACAAATTGTAAATTTTTTGGTATCATAAGTTTTCCAGTAATAAATACCTCTAAAAACAAGTCGAAATATTGCAGGTGCGGCGAAAGACAGTTAATATGCGACATATTTATTAGTTTTTTTATCAAATTTATTGTTAACAAATTCAAAAGCAACAAAAATACCTTTAAATATTCACTTGGTATTGGGCATTTTTTATTATAGATTCCCACTCTGTTCCACAAAAACGTCAGGTTTTGTCTGAAGTTCTCTTTTTTCTCTTTGCATACATGGCGCTATAATTGCAGAAAAACCACGATTTGTTATGAAATTACATAATGAAAACAAAAATTTCGAAGCAGTTTTTTATTTTACATTTTAAATGCACTTATTGTTTACAAATCTTCTGGATTTCTCCTGCGCTGGTGTTGATGAGACGCAGGAGGAATCTAGAAGATTTGTAAATAGTATTACAGTAGTATTTGGAAGTATCTTTGGAAAATATAACACGCTTGCTTTCCTACTCCACCTTAGTGACAGTCTCGCCTAGCTTGGAATCCGTGAGTGCACTGAAAAAAAAGTAAAAAATGTTGCAATTCCTGAAATATTTTTCCTCATAGTGATCAACGGAAAGAGCGAATGTAATGAAAAATTATTCGGTTATATCATTGGAATGTTGATCCCCTATGGATCTCGCAGACACTTTGCCAAGATACCTCCTCAATGCTTACCCACTAAAAACAATGTGAATTATTCATATGATTAAAATGGCAAGTGGTCAAACGTCTTAGGGTTCAACAAACAAATTGAATATCTCGAAATAAGTTGTCATCATACTTAAAATATCTAAACTGTTTAATTTAACAGTATGTTTCAATAATTACTTCCCAAAGCGATGCTAGATTTCATACACACCTTATTAGAATGTTGGGCAATATTGGACTCGGAAAATTTTGACGTATCGACCTATACCAGACCAACAATACCCAGACAAACTCGCATTCGCAAGCAATTTCAGTTCGCAGCAAAAATCAGTTTTTTTTTACTCTGTATTTTTCTCCAAATTTATATTTTCCTTCAGATTCAATATTACAACGAAATTTGAATAATTTGAGAACTATCTAAGCAGACACACACCAAACACTAAGTTTAGAAATTACAGTTAAAACATGTTACAATCGACATAAGTCGTACGCTCAACAAGCAGTTAGCACGCAACGCTATTAGGTATTTATTAACCACGGTCGTAACAATGTAGAAGCAGAATCGCAACGCAAAACAGCAACTTCCATAGAAGTTGATTTTTTGAGATTTCTTATAATGTCTATGTACAATCAAGGTTCGGAAAAATTAAAATGCTTAAGATAAAACTTGCGAGCTTGCCCAGAGCGGGATTTGTTTGTTTTCTATTTTATTTGGTACGTTTTCTTTTATTTCCAACTCTAGAAAACTTTTTCATTCATTGTTTGTTATGGATCGGACATAATATGTAATTATCTGAATATTACTTTCAGTGTCTAGAGTTTAGAGGTCGAACTTGAACTTTTTGTAAATATTTTCAACTCCTTCTTTGCAACCAGACGGTTAAATTTTGTTATACTTTCGTGTTACTTTGTTGTGAAATAAATATTGTTATTATTATATCCATGTAATGAATCATGTACACGTTACTGTGTTCACAAACAAAAACGTCGCGGAATATACTATAGTGTTTTGAAGATATATACTGCTAGTCCGTTTGCAGAGACATCCAATTTGAGCAAAATATTATCGAATTGGATAGATTAAATTTAAAATACTAGTTAAGCGAAAACTCACTCATTAGCGTGTCGAATACATTCTTCAGCAAAAACTGCTCTTCCGCAGCAAAGCAATGCAATTACTAAAAACAGCAGCAAGCTTGCAGCTCTGAACATCATTATGTTTCCGTAAATTCTATAAGCTTTTAGTCCAAACGAAACATTTTTTATAGGCCCTTCAATTAGTATGCATATATATAACTAACCGTAATGGCTTCATAATGTAACTAAAACTTGCAAAATTCGAAAGGTAAATTGGGTGATTACATACATTTTTCGGTAATGAATATCGTTAAAAATAAATACTTGCCAAAATGATAATGATAATAATGATAATGACAAAAAAAATTAGCAAGCAACATAGTTGCCGATACAACCACCCGATGAATCTGAATAATGGAAAAAGGAAAAAGAAACCTTTGGAGGGAAAGAATTGGATGTGTTTTGTACATTTTTCTACGCCACAACATATTACTAATAATAATAATAAACAAAAAAATCAAACATCATATGTTATTCAACTACCAACTACCATGCAAACTTCATCTACCACGGAACGTGGGAGATTCAGGGTTTTAATCTCCATTTCCGTAATTTTTCCGATTATGTACAGGGTGTCTCGATTATGGGCAAAATTTGTACCGTGAAAACTGCCGTTTTCGTGTATAAAATATTAGCTATAAATGAAAAACTGTAAAAGATAGGAAAATTTGGTTTAAAACGTGTTACGAACTGTATCGAGAGCTACAATTTTCGGATTTAGAGCTTTCGTCTACTATACAGGGTGCGCGAGATATTTGGAAAAAACAATCAATAAAATCATAATTCGTCATGAAATGTCAACATTTTCAAAAAATAGTTGCCGATTTTGATTTCTGATCCTCAGAAACCCCTTTATCCAATATTTTGCAAGCTTTTGGGACATTACCTCGAAATCACATTTTGGGCTGAAATACCAGCTCAAAAATCGATGGTCCGTAATTTATGATTTATATCCCGCTTATTTTAAAATGTGAGAAATTCAAATCTATATGTTATATACCTACGTCCTTCCTCTATCCAACAATACCAAAAAGTTTCACGCAAGTTGTACCGTTTGCCGTAGGGTACGGTTTTTGTAAGACGCTGCAAATTTTTAAAAAATGCTTAATTACAATTAAATCGACCGGGCTGGGGTTGACTTTATGGTATATGCGGGAAGACCTCATTGACCTCCAGGTTCCATAAAAATTTCAACCTTCTGGGAGCAACGTAGGTATTTTAAAAAATTTAAAACCTAAATTTTTGGGAAAAATCACGACCACATGAAAATTTTGGATCAAGGTCGATGTTTACCGATCCGGCTGAAATTTGGCATGAAGATAGGAGGTCGGGGGGGTTTTCAAAAAAAATAGTCAGTTGTTTAATTATAAGCTCCTTAGTCCTTCCGCAGGACAAAATTTCGACAAAAAACGGATCTTTTTGATAAAATGTTTTTTATGTCCGTTATTTATAGTTTTAAGAATTTGAAATTTATACGTTATATACTTTAGTCTTTTCTCTATTTAATGATATTAAAAGATTTTTCTCAAGTTGTATGGCTTTTTGTCGGGAACGGTTTTTGTAGGAGACTGCAATTTAAGAAAAAATTGTATTAATTATTATTTATAATTAAATGGTGAGTGCTGGAGAGGACTTTATAATTTCTATGGATAGAGCTCATTGACCTCCATCTTCGAAAAAAATTCAATCTTTTCAAAGCAACGTAGTTATAAAAAAAAATGAAAATGGGAATTTTTGAGGAGTATCATGATATCCATGATAATTATAAATTGAGAATTATAACTAATGATGGAGGGGGCTGGAGGTAGACTTTATGGTATTTAGTAATAGATCTCATTGACTTCTAACTTTGGTGAAAATTTCAATTTGCTCGGAGAAATGTATATATCTTCAAAAATTAAAAATCTAAAATTAGTGAAGAAAAACATGATAAATATGAAAATAATAATTTGCAAATATTAACCGAAAATGGGGGGTTGGGGTTGACATTGTAGTATGTGCGAATAGACTATGTTGATGTGCATCTTCTATAAAAATTTCAACTTTGTCGGATCAATATAGATTCAGAAATAACCTTAAAATCTCATTTGAAATGGAAAAATCGGCTTAAAAATCAATGATCAATTTTGAATGTTTTATATCTTATTTAATTATAATTTTGAGAATTTGAAATATACAAGTTAAATACTTTGGTTCTGCCTCTATAAAAGGATGTCAAAAGGATTTCCACAAGTTATACCGTTTGTCGTCGGGAACGGTTTTTGTATGGGGTTGCAAATTTAAAACAAATAATTAATTATATTTAAGTGGAGGGGGCTGGGGAATTTTCTGGTATTTACGGATAGACCGCATCGACTTATATCTTTGCTACAATTTTTGTATTTATCCATCAATCAGGTAGCGTAGGTTATTTGAAAAAATATCAATGAAAATCTCGATTACTAGTATAATTTGTTATATATTTACCAAAATTTGCAATAATTTTTAGTTCCGGCTAGGTGTGATATGCATGCATACTAAAATTACATTTTGCGAAAGTTCCATTGTGGTCCGCAGGAGCACGATAGAAAAACAATGCCTTCTCCTAGGACAAGAAGCCGCGAAGCGGCTTTGTAGACTCCGTAGCGCGTAGCGCGGAGCAGTCGCCTCGCGCAGCGACGAGATTGCGAAAGCAATCCTGTTAGTTACGCTCCTCATGTCGAGATGCGTTAGTGTCGCTATTTTTCCGCGAGTACGGCTTCTCTCATGATTGAGAAGTTACACAACAACAGTTGTGGAGTATCGAAAAAGAGCAAGACTGCCGAGGAAAACCGTCATTAGCAACAACGTACTCATCGATAAATTCCTCGTATTTTAAAAACTGATTTTGATTTCTTTGAAATCTTTTTTCTAACGATTGAAATCTTTTCTATGGCATACTAAAGGAATCTCCTTGTTTTTGAAAATCATCGTCTCAACAAAACAAATTTACTTGAAACGACCCATTTTCCAATCATTTTACAGATTCAGTGAAACGTCGTTCTGAAAGATTGTCATCTGCTGCCAAATGCCTTATATTTGAAATCTTCTCGAGCTACCAAAACCTTGGCATTAACGACTCTACATCATTAATCGTATGCGTGAATAGCGAAATATTTAAATTACTGATCATCGATTGGTTACTTTTTGTTGGAGCACAAACTCAAACTAATCAACCCAATTTGATATTTTGTAAAACCCAGAAATTGAATAAAATCTGCAATAACAAATTTTATAGTGTGCTAACTGCGAGATAGGAGGTGCTCTATTCCGACTTTCTACTATCGTTTTTATTTTTGATAAAATTGAAAAGTACTGATTTCCAGTATTTACGCGATCAGTTTCCTTTGACTGGTTTAAACCTTTGATTTGCGTGTGCATCTTCAAGTAATTTTCAAAAGATGTTTACAAATAAGTGAAAAAAATTGGTTTGACACAATGCAGTTTTTGACTTTGTCTAAAATGTTCCAACAGCCGCTTCTGCCGCAATCTTGAATTGAAACAATCTAACCTGTTTTTTCGGTGTCCGAGAATATGATATCCCTTTCTCAAAATGTCTCCAGACCGACTTCCATGGTTCGCAGTCCCTCGCTTCTTTTTTAGCACCACTTACCTTTGAAAGTTACTGCCGATACGTATCAGAATAAGAAACCGTAAGAAACAAAATTTTGTTTAAAAATTACAGTCTCCACACTTTTGTGATGTTATTTTTTGTTATATTCCAGAATGAAAAAAATGTTTTGTTGGGTTTTCTTTTTTTTAGTTTTTTTTAGCTTGGGTAACGAATATTGTCGTACATTGTTGCTTTATAGCCTACAGTCCAAAAAGTCCTTTTTTCTTCATTTACAAAATAGCGGGAGTCATGATGGGAATTAAAAATGCCTGACTTGTTTGTATGAAATATAAATAGTTACGACGTTCTTGATTTACAGATGACCCTGAGATGATGAATTTCAATAAATTCTTTTGGCAGTTACTATACGGAATTAATGTTGCTGAAGATCGAACTAGGAAGAATCGCTCCTAGATTCTTCGTGCATCTCAAAATATTAGAATAGTGAAACTGTGTTTGAGACGTTATTACGTTAGACGTTTAATGTTATTTCATTTTCCATAAAAATCCTGTGCTAGTGACCCAACAAATGAGAAATGACAAACCTATCGGATTCAACGCCTAGGTTTCAATTTTTTGATGAATCAATAGCACTGTATTTTTGACATCCATTTTCCTAGAAAGAGGTCCATCCTAGCCATATCAATCAAGTGTACTTTTATCTCGAAACAGAACATATTTTTTATTTCTAAGTGTTATCGTACAAAAATGTTATTGCAGCAAATCATCATGTTTGGGAGCAATCGAATGTTTTCAGAATTATTACTTGAATTTTGAAGTTCGTCAGTTAATACGAATACATTGAAAAATACACATTGAAATATATTTCCAAGGTGGAAAAAATATAGTGTGCAATACTTTTGTTAAACTTTTAAGTCGATCGTCACTAAATGCCGTTATTACCATACACTCTGTTTTATCAGAGAGTTGGATAAAAATGATATATAATAAACAAATGATTCTGAAGTCATATCGTTTTAGTGTAATTTTGGAAACTAAATGAAAATTGGCGTTGGTCCTATCCATGTGGGGGTGATTTTATTTAACTCGACCAACATAGCTACAGCAATTTAGCCGCTTCATCTGATTTTTTCTGAATTGTTTCTCTATCGGCCATCTTGCGTTCCTTCATTTGAAATATGACAAGTAATATTCATTGTAAGCGAAATGTGGCATTTCCACCTCTATTAGACTACGAAGTTGTTTTTGATAATTGTATGGTGCTTGATATGAGGCACAATAGAATAATCGTCTATTGGGAAAAGGTTTGCAATAATTACATATTACTACATTTTATTTTTTCCCTCTGCCAGAGCAGAGATTGTCGCTTATATTTGAATGTGATGAGAAGTTCAGATATATCATCCATTCGTTTGTTGAAACTCGATGAATATTCCAGATGTTTGGACAAGATGTCACTAGGCATTTTCAATGTTTACGTTCTGATAATAATTTAAATTTTTAAAATGTTTGAAATCTCCAGT